CGCCCACTGATGGAAGACTGTGACCTCTTACCTTAGCTGTGGTGTAGTCCACGACCTTCTTCGTTGTGAGGTCACACTTGTTGCCTACTAGCAGCTTGTTGACGTTCTCGCTGGCGTAGCGGTCGATCTCCTGTAGCCACTGTTTGACGTTGTTGAAGGACTCCTGAGGACAGAGACGTGAACACAGAGCTTTTCACACTGCCGACAGCCGCCTGCAGGGGGCGGTGTTTACTCCACTCATTTCACAGTTTCATACACAATTATGCCAAATACCCAACAGACAGCCCCTCCCTGACCCCACCTCACTTCCTGCGCGTGTTCAGAGTGCGTGCATGCTCCTGTACATACGGTGCAGGCAGGAACCAATCCTCCGCCTCCCTGCACACCTTTGTGAATCTGTGTGTCTGACATTAAACAGCAAGTTTAACATTGGGTCTGTCCCGCATGATGGGAGCCGTCCAACAGAACAGAAACACGTCAGGTTGGCTGCTCGCTCAGCGAGGCTGCTGCAGGGCGTGTTCCTGTGTCAGGCTGCATTGTGTGTCTGAACTTGTCCGGCCGGTTTTCTCGCTGCTCTTCAGTCGCTGTGTTTGAGCTGCGAGCGAAGCTGAACATCTACTGGCCAATGAACACGAGATGGGAAGGGTCTGAAGACTGAACTTTCAAAATAAGAGCACTGGCCATTTTCCACTACGGAACAGATGAAATTAACAAAAATAATCTATATCAAGACAAGTGAGCAGGAAGTGCAAAAACGACATAAAACATCTAGATCCTGGCCCTCAGTTAGCTTCTGACCAAGGCTTTTATTTTGGTAAGCTGGACATGTGAGAAGCAGCTCATCCCTCCTTCAGGGTGCCTCCCCCCCACCCTGCTCATCAATGACTGACTGGACCTGTTGGAGACTCACAGACGTCTCTGTCGCTGAAACCATCAGCAGCTTATAAAACATGCTGCTGATGAGCACTTCCTGTATCTGAGCAGATGTTACGGGTCAGAATCGAACTGTTTGTATTTCCTTCATCAGCGCCGCTAGTTGAGCTTCTGTTATTACCACCGAGCCTTCAGACTGTTTTTATCATGTGTTTGGACTGCGGGAGGGAGCCGGAGAACAAACACAGAATCCACGCAGGAAGCACCAGCTGGAGCCTTCCTGTTGTGAGGCGGCGGTGCTGACTGCCACAGATTAATATGTAGCTCTTATAACCGTGTATCAGAAAACATAACAAGCTTTAAAGTGAGTGCATGCTGAGTTTTAGGGCTGCTGTCAGGTACCGACACCGTGAGCAGCTGTCCCGGGTCATCAGCCACGTTGAGCCCTGCTGCACACCACACACGTCACGCTTTGAGCGCCGTCGGCACTCACCTGGTCTGTCACATCGTAAACCACAATGATGCCGTGAGCTCCTCTGTAGTAACTGGACGTGATGGTGCGAAAGCGCTCCTGACCCGCCGTGTCCCACTGAGGAGGAAAAGCAGAGCGTCAGTCAGAACAGAGTGACATCATCACCGCGTGTGACCAATCGTGTGCTTACAATCTGCAGCTTTATGGTTTTCCCGTCCAGCTCGATAGTCCTGATCTTGAAATCCACGCCAATGGTGCTGATGTAGCTCTCTGTGTACGTGTCATCCTGCGCACGCACGCACGCACGCACGCACGCGCACCACACACACACACACACACACACACACGCACGCACACACACACACGCACACACACACACGCGTGAGTCTGTGCTACAAAATGCAGTTTACCATGACAACATTGTGTCAGAAACACTCACTGCAAACCGGAGCAGGAGACACGACTTTCCGACCCCAGAGTCCCCGATCAGGAGCAGTTTGAATAAATAGTCACTGTGAAGACAGAAAACATCATCATTACACACACGCGTCACACTGCTGCCAGTCTTTATGAGTGTGTGTTTGGTGTGCATGCTCCTTTAAAGAAAACAAGTCCAACAACACACAGCTGCTTCCGTGCTGGACTTTTACTGTGGGCGGGGCTTCACACACACACACACACACACACACACACACACACACACACACACACACAGGAAAGCATGAGGCAAGATAATGTGTTCCTCAGGACTAACAGGTGTTTTTACCTGCAGACACTTTAGTGACACAGTCTGGAAGAACGTGTCTGAACAGACTTTGTTCAATTAACGATAACGAGTCAGATGTTGACTTTGATTAAAAACAAGGAGTGACATCATAATCATAATCAGTCATCAACATTAATACTCATATTATTCTGTTAATAATCTCCCATTATTACTACATTACCTGCTATAACACAGAATATTTAATTGTTCTGTTTTGACTTTATTTGTTACTCAAATATTTGATATGCTGACAGCAGAAGTCTGTTATTAAGTTATAAGCGACAATGATGATGTTTCAGCTGCAGTAACACAGGATGAACGAAGCCTGTGTGTGTGTGTCCTGTACCTCACACACACATGAACACAGCAGGAACGCTGAAACTCCTGTTCATACTTTAAGTAAACAGGCTTTGTGTATCTTAATGTGTGATAATGTTCAGCAGCCCTTTGACTTGACTAAACGATCAAAGTACTGTGGATTCTAGTTAAAGTACACCATGGGGGGTTAAACGCCCGATTGGTTAATCGATTATCTGATGGATCAGCTGTTCGTTGGTGTCAACTGCAATGAAGTAACAACATATTACCCAATAACGGGCAGACTTCCTGTTTGCGGCGCATACGTCACACCCAGCCCGGTTCGGTTCGGGTTCACTGACGGAGCTGAAACCCGAACCCCGGGCCTGACACTGGAATCGAACCAAGTGAGCCGAGCCTGTGGGTCAATAACACACCCTGACCGTTAAGCTACGTAGCTGCTGTTAGCATGCTAGTGGCTAGCGTCTCTGACAAACTGTTAGCGAAATCGAAAAATCCGCCGGTTCAGGCGCACGGAGCCCGGACAACCGTGTCATTAGGCAGCCCTTTGGTGTTATATCTGAGCGCTGTCACTCGGTCTACGCTGCGTTCACAGCCCGTTAACGGAACTGAGAGACAAAGCAGTGGACGGTCATCTTCAGTCCGCCCGGCTAGCTTGCGCTTTCATTAGCTTAGCTTAGCATAGCTCCTCGGCTAATCTTCCAACTCCGCCGGAACGGTCACAGCCGACATCAAACTGACACTTACTATTCAGGATTCATCGTTGACTACAGGCTCAGAACCGTCACTGCGGTGGATTCAGCTGCAGGTCGTCGCGGATTAATCTGTAACTGGCCTCGCAGTGAAGAAAAAACACCGTTTTTTCTGATGGAGTGGCTAAACTGCCCGTCGCAGCCAGAACAGCATAATCGAATCAAATATGGCTGTCTCACTACCTACCCGGAAACGCCGCAGATTGGAATCATGGGTAATGTAGTTCTGTGAAGATGGGCGTTTACACGTCGTCAAGACACAAACAAGATGACGTGTTATACTTAAAACGTATACATATATTTTTAACGTGCGCTATTATATTATATTTTATTATTTAGGCAGTTTTTGCCAGGTATACGTTGCTGTGTTGATGTGTGATACATTCATTCTTTAGACGACCCAGCCCTGGTGATGAGTGGCGAGACAAGCATGAGGATTTTGGGTGTAGTTTCCGTCTGAGTGAAGAACTCTGTAAAGATGTACATTTCTTGTTAGTTATCAGTTCATTTAGATTATGTTTGTCTGTATCAGGATGACCAACTTAATGTTCCCAGGGGGCCACATTAGACGGGGCTGATGTGGAGAGACACAGTAAAAAGCTGAACTCAGTTCTGCTCAATATTCTTTTAATCTCTTAAAGTGCTGCTGGATAGTGACACTGACATTTTACAACTATGTAATTACCATTTCTCAAAACAAAATAAAATTCGCAAAATTTCAGAGACTTTTAACTTGAAGTGTTTCTGTTCTTTTTCTTGTTCAGTGAGAGAAATCATCCTGAAAAAGTGCGTTAAAGTCAGCTTCACTGTCACTGAGAGACTGTGTGTTGTTAAACTCTATCACTGACAATGTTTGTTCACGTGTGAAGGTAGAGCCAAACAGAACCCGAATCTTCTGAGCATGTGTGATAGGTTTCCTCTTTGAAAGAAGAATAAAGATCCAGTGCTGATGCTGACTGGACGTGCCGACAGCACCTACCTCCCTGATATGGTCTCTCTCACTGAGTGCATTGCTGGCAGCACCTCATAATCTCAAACTCTTTGGTCATCACGCACACACAAATGCATAACTGCTTTGTGTCACACGGGAACTGAGAGTCAAAGTAAAACGTCATTAATGTCACTGATAATTTAAAATCAGTGTCCTCATATGTAGAGCAGAGACTGGCATGTTCAGTAGGCCTGGATTGGCTCTGTAATCACAGGTCATTTTACATGCTGCCGAGTTCTTTCTTCATTATTATCAGGAAGTCCTAAAAACTCCCTGAAAAGCCTTCAGCTGATCCAAAATGCTGCAGCAAGAGTCCTGACAGGGACTAGAAAGAGAGAGCAGATTTCTCCTGTTTTGGCTTCCTGTTAAATCCAGAATTCAAAATCCTGCTCCTCACATACAAGGTCTTAAATAATCAGGCCCCATCTTATCTTAATGACCTTGTAGTACCATATCACCCTATTAGAGCACTTCGCTCTCGCTCTGCAGGCCTACTTGTTGTTCCTAGAGTATTTAAAAGTAGAATGGGAGGCAGAGCCTTCAGTTTTCAGGCCCCTCTTCTGTGGAACCAGCTTCCAGTTTGGATTCAGGAGACAGACGGGATCATATAATTGTTGGTTTCTTCTCTGTATCATTTTCTTTACCTTACAGCATTGAGCACCTTGAGGAGACTGTTGTTGTGATTTGACATCTATAAATGAAACTGAATTGAGAAGTTGAATAAATCAGCTGCTTTTGTGCCTCTGGATCTGCCCCGAGCTGAACCCTTAAACAGCAACTTCACACCAAACAAACAGAGGAGGAGCACAAAGGAGGCGAGGCAGCAGCTTTTCTCTTAAATTAGTTTAATTTGTTGTGTACACTAAAAGTCAAATTTACACAGTGGTCTGAAAGAACCTGGGCATGCATGATAACCTCCCACAGGCTCTCCCACTGATTCCGTGTCCCATAGGAACTCCCCGTACATTTACAGTCCATAGTTTAACTGCACACAGTCTAAAGCCACAGTGAACTATGATTACATCCATTTCATCTTTACAATGTGCAAAATCCTCCAGGCTCGGCCGACAGTAGTATGAGCAACAGAAAACAGACCGATGGAAGCAGCCGTTGGTCCCTTCGTTCCCCTCCGATGCGAGCAGCCTTCAGCTCGCCGACGCTCGAAACCGATCGTCCCGTTTTTAAACAAAGTAACAACCGGAACGTCTGATGGCAGACGCGCCGGCGTGAAGAACAAAAACAGACGAGCGAGGGTGTACAGGATTATTTTAAAAAGCTTCACGGAAAAAAACAAACAGATTAAAACTGAAGGACGAACGAAGACGAGGGGACGAAACACTCGGCGGGATTCTGCAGGCAGTGTGGTTTCAAGTCCATAAATAGATTCAGATTTTATATATACGTATATAAATGTATGAATTCACAGAAACTTCCACTTCAGTTTGATTCAGCTTCCTTCAAGCTCCGCCCCCACACATGTAAAATCAGCAGGAATCAAGGAGCCCATTTAAAAACAAAAAAAAACAAAAACATTGAATCCCTGATTATTTACACACACGACAACAACACACACACACACACACACACACCCCCGACACGGCCTGAACGCACAAATCCCACTTCCTGTCAGCTTTACCACGTGCTGCCCCTCCTCCACGCCGTGCCCCACCAAATAACGAGAAAAGCTTCACTTTATCCAGAGAAATAACTGAAAATCAACAAAAAGCTAACTTAATTAAAAAAAACAAGAGCTTGATAAAATGGGCGGGGCCAGCAGAGTGAGCAGGTGATGTCTGGAGGCGTGGCCGGGGCTTCAGTCTGGCGTGGCGTGTGACCCGAGCGGCGTCAGCGTGGCGGGAAACATCAGCACCTTGGCCTGCATGAAGGACAGGTCGGGCAGCGCCGCAATCACTTTGGCCGCCTCCTCGCTCAGATTCTCATCTTTCCTCGGCTTCCTGCCAAACAGGAAGTGACCAGTTTTTTTAAACACATGAACATAACATTTGTAGTTGATGACATCATCAGTGCGCCACTGACACAAACTGTTACAAACTGCACCCAGATCAGCTGAGTGTGAATGACCTGCATGTCTGACACCCAGCAGCGTGCGCACACACAGGCCTGAGCTGTCAGGTGGACGTCTGCTGAATGTGGATCCACGCCGGAGCGCTCACAGATTCACGCCAAAATTCACCACAGTACTTTAAATTGTTAATTCCACTTATATTTAGCCATAGCCAATCATAGTTGAGCGTCAGCTGTGAGGTCATTCCTCAGGAGTTCCACCTGCAGCCGATCCTGATTTCATGCTTTCACAGGAAATTGGGGACAAGCCAGAAGCGCTTTGACCTCTGACCTGGTGGAGGTGCTGGTCTTCTCCACAGTGGACATCAGGCGGGCGAAGGCGTCGGCCATGCGGCTCCCGGAGCTGCCAGAGTCCAGCTTGGCGGTGGTCAGTTCGAATAGCTCGGGGTCGACGCCTGAAATGCAGAAGAAAGATCAGGGAGGCGGAGCTTAAACTTCACCAACAATCCAACAGTGAGAAACTCGGAGGAGGCGAGCCGGGAGCTTCCTCCTCGGAGGTTCGCACCCGCACAAAAACGGTCGTGCTTGGCGTGATTAAAAGAGAAACTGAAGGAGTGGAGCAGCTGTGAGGCGTGTCCGCCGCAGCGATCCGTTCTGAGATCAGCGTGTGCTTAAATGGTGAGCACCCGGCGGACCCGCCTCGCTTTCTACTGCCTGCGGGACAGTCACATGACCTCATACCGACCTTCCTGTGCCGACCGCCCCACACACCAGCATCAGTCAGGACATCATTCATGATTTTAAAAATCTGAGCTGGGAAGCAGTCACGTGACTAAAATGACATTAAAATTAGCACCAGGATCAAACCTCGGGATGGTCATGTGACCCGGTCAGGAAGCACGAGAGTGCGGTGAGTGAGAGGAGCAGATGGAGGTTAATTCAAAGGAGGAGGATGCTGGAGCTGACCTGGGATGGAGGGTGAGCTGCTGGAGCCTGAGTCCTCCACAGGACCAAAGAAGTCCAGGTTTAAGAGAGACGAGCCTCCGCTGGCTGCAGAGCCGGGCGAGCGAGGTTAACGCACACAGTCAGAGAGAGAGAGAGACACATGCAGCAGAGTCAGTGAGAGAAACCGGAGACGATCGTTTCCACATGCAGCAGATTTCTCACAGTCTGCACATGCTCAGTGCACCGCTTCACTGAAGCCCACGACGTTTGGACTGTAGCAGGTGGGAGGAGCATTTAGGACCGTGTTATCCAATCAGAGCACTTCGCTCTCACACTGCAGGCTTGTTGGTCCTAAAGTATTTGAAATTAGAATGGGAGGCGGAGCCTTCCATTTTCCTCTGAAACCACAGCAGCTCCAGCCTGCTGAGTTACTGATGCTTCAGGGACTGCAAACCGCTCTGGAACCCTACGAGGTGACCTGAACACATACGTGCAGGTCAGGTGGCACACCGACCCCGCAGAGCGATGACGCAGCACACACGGGAAGACCACACGTTATGAACACATGACACAGCAGCACGGCGCCGCAGTCAGCCTCTTATGGAGTTTTCAGACTTCAGCGAGCGTCACTGATGGCTGACGCAAGGAAGCGAATGAACTTTCAAAATAAGAGTGAGGGGACGGTTCACCAACAAAGACATGGCATCATTGGGCGCCCTCTGACATCTGTGACTGTGGGCCACAGCGACTCCGTCAGGAAACAGGAAGTGACTGATGGTTGTTTTATACACAGAGCGCCTCCTGGTGTGTGATTGGCTGTGAAGTACAAACTGAAGCAGCTAACAGGAAACACTACAATAAATAGAGGAAGTGGAAGAAGAGAAGAGCTGTGAGCGGGAGAAGGAAGAGTCAGTGCGGCAGAGGCAGCGGGGTCACCTACCATCAAGCGGGTTGGTAAGGCCACTGCTGCTCCAGTCGAACTGGACGGGTGGGAGCGCCTCCTGCTGGAGGAGAGGCAGCAGGTCAGTCATGTACCAGGTGTGTGTGAGAATCATGTTTAAACACAAGGACACGCCCACACGTGGGAATGGTGTCAGGGTTAATTCCTCAGGTTACATATGTCAAGCTATTGTTCGCCCTCGTGACGGCGAGGACTTCACCTGTCATCGCTTGGAGGAAACGACGTCAAAAAGTCAAAAACAAAGATTCAAACTGTGGCAGTCAGCGTTTCTCACTATCAGCCAATCACATTGCATTTGAATCCTGCTCGGAGGTCACCTGTCGGCCCGCCTCCCCGTCTCACCTGGACCGAGTCTGTAGGACAGGAGCTTTTCTCAGGTACCAGCGGCGGCGCCTGCGCGATTGAGGCGATCATCTCTGCAGCAGAGACGGGCTTCACGGGCTCTTTGGTTGGTTCCAGCATCCCCTACACACACACACACACACACACACACACACACACACACACACGTTTAAACATCCTGCAGCGCTGCCTGGCGGCCTCCTCGTAGATGCATGGATGGTACGAATGTGAAAGTCTGATGTTTCATTTACTGCAGTCACGAGATTTTCAGAAAACTTGACCTCTGACTTTTAGGTCAAGGTATCAACTTCATCCTGCGTCACATCTGAAGTTCCCAAACGCACGTACCTGTCAGCGTTTCACAGCTAGAAATGAGAATAACTGATGTTCCTGCCGTAATGAAACTGTCTGTATCACCACTGTTCCTGTTCTCAAGTTCCCAAAACTTAAAAATCTTCATCTTGTCCTGAAATCAAGCAGGAAGCAGTTTTCTGTCCCCCTCCCTCCCCTGCTTACATCAGCTGATCAACAGCTGATCCTTCACAGTCACTGTGGAGCTAAGCGCTCATCTTTATTTACCTGCGGCTTTAATTTAGCTGTTAGTAACATCTTAAACGTGCTGCATGAGTAAACCTGACTTTATGCCGCTGTAAATAGAGTCTGTTGGATGCACTCACCAGGCCGGCGGCGTACATGGGCACGATGACCGGCTGCTTCTTCTGTCCTGTGAACAGCTGAAACATGGAAATCAGAAAGATTAGGATTCAAACCTCGAGCGCAGCTGCCGCCTCAGCAGGAACGCCTTTAGTCATACCAACAAATGACCAGGAACCATCTTTTATCTACAGTCTATGTTGAAGAGTATCTGGGCGGGGCTAGGAGACGACGCATTCAGAGGGGAGCAGCGTGTACTCACGATGTTTCTGGTGTCAATGCCGAGGCAGCAGAGAAGTGCTTTGTTGCAGTGGGAGCCGCCCCACTGGTATCTGAGGCCGAACGCCTCGTGGATGTCCTGAAGCTGCGTCCACACGCCACCGTACACGGACCTGTGGCAGCCAATCAGACGCAGCGGAGTCAAAAACAGGGTTCATGAGTGGGAGCAGCTCTTAATGGAGCGGGTACGGAAACACCTATGGATCACTCATAACCAGGAGGTTCGCTGAGGAGACCCTCACCTCTTGCATGACGATTTCTTCTCCTCCCCCTCCTCAGCTCCGGGGCGTCTGTCCTCAGGAGGCTCCAGGACGGCCTTCAGGGACACCACCTGGTCCTCCAGCAGTCGGGTGGCGCTCTGAGGGAAGCTCACCTGGAACAGCTTCTCCACACGGCTGAACAGCGATGCCTGCAGAGAGACGGCAGCGTCAGACTCAACTTCACAGTCTGGGCCTGACTACAGTTGAAGGGGCGCTTCACCCTCAGGTGATGGTGCAAAGAGCAGAGCTGCTGGTTCATATCTGCTTTTACCCCGTGCTGTACGAGCCCACAGTGAGACTGGCCTTATTCACACTGTCATGCCAGTTTGCAGGTTTTTAATGGTTTCGTTGTTATTATGTAACGGCTGCTGTGGATTTAAGTCCCTCAGAAATGGACAATAAACATCTGTCTGTGCTGATAAAGCGACAGTCTGAATGACTTCCCTGCAGACACTTCTCGCTGCTTTCAGTAGGGATGGGTACCGGTATCATGGCACCGGTTCTGTCATAAATGGCAGTAACCAGACCGTTTAAGCACCGGCACCGTGTCAAAAGTACCGGTTTGGCACCGGTATCGGATAAAACCTAAACGATACCCATCCCTAGCTTTCAGTCTGTGTTGTGTTTACTGACTTTACATGTTTCTAATATTAAACTTTGATCACTTTGCTGCTGTTTAACTCAGAGGGGTCGATCAACTCTGGGCCAACTAAAGGACGAGATAATGAAGAAACATCCGCATTATGCTGCTAACACAAGCACCTGCACAGACAGCATGCTAGTGCTAAACTAGCCGAGAGCCCAGAGTTAAAGCTGAACTTCAACAGGTCAGAGACTGATGACAGTCTACCTGTTCATGTTTCTACAGTAGAATCACCACGACGACCGTGCTGGTTTCCATCTTTGCTTTGTGTTCATACCTAAACACTAAGAGAACGATCACGCGTGTCATTAGCAACTACCAACCTGTATATTTTATTTATTGTTTACTCTATTTAATATGTAAAATACACACACACACGTAGAAAAACATATTTAGTACACACATCCAGTAATGCATACACTCTTATATTGTACATATATTTATTACCATCCTTATATTTTGCTTGTTTTATGTTATTGTATTTTTTGCACACCTCTGTCGCTTGTGAAGCTCGCACACAAGTATTTCACTCGCATGTGCTGTACCCGTGTAGCTGCACACGTGATGTGACAATAAAGGTGATTTGATTTAGCGCAGAGCAGCGTGTTGGTGTGTGGGGCTGTGACCTCATGTTGTTAAACTGTGATGATGACATAGGGCTGCTCAATTAATCGAATTTTAATCACGATTACGATCTGGGCTTTCAACGATCATTAAAAATGACTGAGCCGATTATTAGCCCCTCCCTCGCGCTTTACTCTCGCGCTGCTCCGTGTGGCAAATCGAGCGCACCTCTCTGCGTTTCGAACACGCGTCACAACAATAAGAGGACCCGAGGGAAGCTCGGAAAGCTAAGCAGAAGTTATTTGGAGAGGAGAGTGACGGCCGTTGGTTGCAGAGAGGTAAAAAACTTCAGTGGTGTGGAAACATTGTGGGTTCAGTCAGACGTGGATCAAGCAGACACAGTGTGTAAACTTTGCTACGGTGTAGCTGCACCACAGAGCAACACTGCAAAGCTCACTAAACACAGATGTTTACATTTTTCATTTATTTCTTATACTGCAAACATTTGCACTGTTTTATATTATTTTTTAAAGTCATTATTCAACACATTGTTATTGTTAAATAAATATCGTCAAATAATCCAGATCTCAATTTCAGTGAAAATAATCGTGATTATCATTTTTGCCATAATCGAGCCGCCCTATTATGACACAACGAGTTTCAGCACATTTTATGGAGAAATGCAGAAGTAATGAAGTAAAATGAAGTAAAATACTGAGTTACTTTGAAGTACTCTGAGTAATTAATGACATTTCTTTGAGTAATGAGCCAACACTGAGGGAAATCCCTCCAACATGCACAAACATGTGACCCACAGCAGAAAGTCTTTGATACGCTGCCAAGTCTCAAACAGGAGCCAATGAGGAATCAATCAGTGATATTGATGATGGAATCAGAAACGCTAAATTCCTATCACTTCCTGTCCCTACAGGCACATGATTCGAGATGTTGACCGACCTTCCCACCTGACCCAAACCTGCCATCCTTCATCATCATCAGTCTGAGCTCACCTGTGCACAGCCACAGGAGCATGCTCAGAGTTTAGAAACAGCTCTACCTTCATCCCGAGGAACCTAATGACAGCGGTGCTAAAGCCTCACGTGGATCCTCTTAAGGAGAACTTAACCCAAAAAGTTCCAGCTGCAAACTATTTTTTAAATTTGACAGATATTGCAGATCCTGGATGAAGACATCCTGGATACAGTGTACAAAGTACGTGGTGGCGGCGGTCTGCGGGCCCCTCCTACTGTGTTGTTCGCCTGCCAGCCACAGCAGAAAGTGCTGAAGCCACACAGAGCGCCGCGGGTCTGCAGCCTGTCTGAGCGCTTCATGCTCGGGTTTGTTTAACTCGGTGAACTCCGAGCCCAGAGTCGTGTGTGAGTCAGCTGGGTGTGAGCAGAGGAAGTGGAACAGATTTAAAGCTTTCACATTAACTTCCTGTTTGGGTTGTGGACAGCACATCGTTATCATGACCTTTAAGACAGGAAACGTGTAATCCTGCTCTAACTGGATCAGTGTGATGTCACAGGTTTCTGGAGTATCTCTGCATTTTAAACATGGGAAACAGAATCATGTCCCAGTCCTCCCAGTGTGCCCAGTGTCCCTTACCGGCTGACTGTCAGTGCTGCTGAGTTCTTCGCCGACCGCAGGTGCTTTACTCTCATGCCACTCCTCCTCCTGCTTCTCCTCTTCCACTCCTCTGCTATCTGCAGGAAGTGAGACGCTCGTCTCAGCGCTGAACGCCGCCCATGAAGCCCCCTCTTCCTCCTCCTGCTGCTGCTCCCCGAAGGCGCTCCACCCGGCGTCGCTCTCGCCGCCACCGGCCGAGCTGAAATTCCCAAAACTGTTGCTCACAGGGAAGTCGGCAAACTTTCCTCCCTCCTCCCCCTCGTTTTCACCCGAGTTAAATTTGGGGGAGTTGAAGTCGCCAAAGTCGTCGTCTTCTTCTGCGTTGTCCTTGGCGGTCGCAGCTTCCTGCACCAGAGCAGAACTCTGTAATCCGACTGGATCGTGCTGAACCTCCAACTGATCGAAGTCTGCGAAGCCTTGAGCGCCGAAAGAGCCGGCGTCTCCGAAGTCCCCGAAGTCTTCGTCGCCGTCTTCGGCCATCTGGCTGTCGTCAGCGGGTGTGGCAGATTCCCCCTGGAGTGGGGGCGAGGGCACCGAGCCCGTGGTGCTCACGTCGCCGTACTCCTCCAGAGCGTCGGTGGACAGTGGACGGCCAAACGACGTCTCCGTTTCGGTCTCCGTCTCGGTCTCCGTCTCGTTCCCGGAGCTCTTCTCATCCGATTGCCTCGCCTCGCTGTCTCCGGTTGTGTCGGGCAGGAGCTGCTTTTCACCGCAGCCGTCTACAGAACCGTTGCTGTCAGCTACATCCGCCCTGTTCACGGCGAACAGTTTGTCAGTGCAAACGGCCTCTGAGGCGCCGCAATCTGCCGCCAAGGCCACATCCCTTTGTCGAGAGTCAGCATCCATGTGAGCACGCCGGTCCGGCGTCTCAGCGGGGATGCAGAGGGACTCTGAGCTGAATGCGTCGTTTTCAGTTCTGTTTGTGTCCCTGACATCGTCCTCTGAAGTCAGTCCCTGCTCTACATTATGGCTGACGCCCGGTGGACAGTGCGAGCTCGCCGTCTGGTCGAGGCGTCCGTCAGCATCGGAAAAAGCAGCAAAGTCTGCAAAGTTGTCCTCCGGGCCTCCGGCACTGCCCGTGTCCTCGGGGGACGTTCCTTTTATGCGATCATGGACAGAATTCTGGGAGGAAGGACTTCCCTGAACATCAAACCCGTTTGTGAGCACCTCGCCGCCGTTACAATCCGCGGTGTCGCTCGCAGTCAAGTCCACACAGCTGGCGAGGACCTTTTTCATCTCAGTTCTTTCTGAGGCACTCGCCAGCACGACACCGTTCGCCTTTGAGAGCTCATCACTGCGGCTGCGGGCGCCATTTGTGGAGCCATGGCTGAAGCCCACCACCCCTCTACTGTTGATCAGCTCCGGCGGCGAAGTGGCGGTCAGAGCCTGCGTCTGGTTAAAAGTGGTCGGAGTGTCAAACTCTGAGAAGCTGATGCTGTTCGGGATGCCAGAGAAGGTGCCAAAATCTCCGAACTCATCGTCCTCTTCCTCAGCGCCGTCCTCCATGGGTGGCGGAGAGGAGGAGTACATGCGGATCACGTCTGGCTCCATGACTCTGCGGTGATCGAAGAATCCTCCGGGCTATACCTGAAAGAGCGAGAGAACGTCGTCAGCAGCAAATCACAGGACAAACATTCAAAAATAAGTAAAAAAACAGTAGCGCGCTTCATCCACGCGGCGAGGAGCCGAGCACGCCTCTCAGCAACACCGATGATCTCCAACGAGAGGCTCGAGTCACAGCTCATCGAGTAATACGAGCCCCGAGAGTGCAGACGGCGTCAAAGCGACGGCGAAACACACCGTCACAAACACATCATCGACAGAAATGAGGAAATGAAACCCCGCCCTCCTGCTCTGATGTCACTGCTGCGGGATCACATCATCACTGCAGCGTGAACATGAAAGCGTGTTGTTTGAATGAACACGATAGAAGTCGACAGGCGTGGACACAAACGCCTCTCACAACACGGAGCATCAACCTGATGTTCAGCACTGAGCTTTAAACAGGACTCTGACTCATCACTAATAATCTTATTTATTTATGTGATTAACAAAAATGATGATGTCAGAAACTATATGACTTTATTCTGCTGACATCACAGTTCTGATCACACACACAGCTTTCACAAATGTATAAGATAATAACATTTTTGTCACTAAATAAAAACAAATACCATTTTTAAAGTAACCGTCTCCTGTCTCACTTCTGATTTCAGCTGTGCGCTCTCTCTCTCGCCCTGTGACCCTGTGACCTCTGACACCTGGCCTGTGGGGGCCTGATGTCATTATTTCTTTTCATAACTGTATTTGTGTGCTTGAATCACGTTTCCAAATCCTGATCTGAAGCGAGCACAGACCTCAGCTCTTTAAAATTTCACTGAGTTTGGACTGAAACAACCAGCCAGGTAAGGAAACACCTGAGTTTCTGATGAAGGTACCTTCCTGCAGCTCTGCAGGGGAAGTCCCTCTCGGGTTACCTGCTGGCCTGGACGGCCTGTGTTTGTGCTGTGACCGGCGGTGGGCGGAGCCTACCTGTGTTTGGTAGAGCTGAGCTGGACTTCAGGTATGCAGTCCTGATAGACCAGTCAGGCGAGCGCGAGCCGTTTAACCCCTCAGACCCCACAAACGCTGACGTGTTAACGTCAGGGCAGGTAAACATGTTTAAGATGGGTTTACCTGCGCACTCAGCGGGGTCACCTTCAACAGGCGCTCAGCCTCCTGACAGTCGTTCCAGTCCCAAACTACACCTGACACTGCGAGCCCCCCCCCAGCAGTCTCACCTGTCTGACGTCAGCGATTAAATTGCAGCTAACAAGCTAACGTAGCAGGCTCAGTAAACTCCCAGGTAGCTTAGCAGGCTAAACGACGGAGGGCTGAGAGTTTGTCCCGAGCAGAACCGACTTGTCTGAGCCCAGCCCGAGCCCGACAGGGAAGCTAGCAGGACAGCTCGGCGGCTAATAGCAGCCCGAGCTCGGCGGGACTAGCTCGGTCAGCCTGTGTGGAAAGCTGAAGCCAGCTCGATTACTATGCTGGTACTTTACCGGGCGGCTCTGCTGGCACACAGCGGCGGTACACAGATAAACACAGGCCGGGGACCCTTCAGGAACGAGTCGGTTTGACGTTAGCTGCTCCTGCTAACTGCGCAGCTAGCTTCACCAACGACAACAAGCCAAGAAGCAGCTGAGCTAGCATTAGCTTAGCTTAGCTCAGCGTTTCGTGTGACAACAACTGTCTCATCCCGAAGGAAAGAGCCGGGCTCACCGTCAGAGGCCGCCCGCTGGCGTCCATGGTTCGGTCCCACACGGGCTGTCGTCGGAGCGGGACGGCTGACTGAGAAGCCCGTGCTGAAGGTGGAGTCCGCCGGCTGCTGCTGCTGCCCTGCCTCACGATCACCCAGCATGCACCGCTGCGTTCTGCTGCTCCACAAACTTCCAGGTGGAACAGGTGGATGGATGTAACTAAGTACTCATACTCATGTACACCAGTTGGCCGCTTGTACTCGAGTATTCCTGAACTACGCCTCTCTCCCAGCACTTTTTAAAATCCAAACTTTATTTCTTTAAGTGGAAACCGCTGTTACAAACTCCGCTGAGCAGACCTAAATATGAAAAATAATCGGACTGGGCACAAGTCTAAGCTGCCTCAGAGCAAGAGGAGGTCCACCTGGACAGGTGCACCTCTGTGGCAGAGCTGATGGAGAGAGACAGACAGATGGCCAGTTCACATTCACACCTGTAGTCAGTTTAGAGTCACCTGTTAACCCGACCCCACTGACTGTTTGGACTGTGGGCGAGAACCCACACAGGAAGCACCAGCAGAACAACATTATGTTGTGTGAATGCACCTTTCTAAAGTCCCTCCTCAGTTATTTAAAGCACACGTGTGTCTAATTATTCGAGACGGGAAAAGCGTCTCAACCATTAAATTCGAGCTGGTGTGGGCCCCGGGGTCTGGCATCAAATAAACCCGACACTTGGATAAAAGGAGGCTGAAGTGTTCGTATACTCAGCCCAGCTCCACACTGGCGTCTCCCACACTGCTCTTAACCTGCTTCTGCTCAGCTGTGCTGAGAATCATAACAGCGATGGTTGGGACAGAACAGATTCGTCTGGATTTCAAATCTTCTCTGTTTTCAGTGATATAACTTTAGTAACAAGCACCTCATTCTTTTCTCTCTCTCTCTTTTGCCATGTTTTCCAGGTAACCTATATTTGACAACAGCTTGATAAAAAGAAATTCTGTTTTTGGTGTCACCCCAATATTTTTAGTGGCCACCCCTATGAAAACATTCTGGAGGCGCCCTTGGCCGTTCTGTCTGCTGACCAGCTCTGACGTTCAGGATTCGTGTTTGGACTGAACCTGCTCAGCAGAGCCACAGCTGACAGGTATCTGGGAGGTACCGTGTCTCTGCACACCTGAAAATAATGTGAGAAAACTCCAAAAAGCCCACTCTCTCAGTGTTTGGCTGTCAGGGTGTCAGGACGCAGTGTAAATAAAGCAGAATGCAAAGACTCACAAATCTCATGATATGCGATGTTTGATTCACAGAACACTGAAATCATATCGAATATTTATACATTTTCCTGTTTCATTTCATTTTGATGGCAGCAACTTTAAAGAAACAGCAGGAGGAACATTTATCAGGTGAGCTGTCAGCAGGTGGGTCACATGGTCGGGTGTAAACAGACCTCCCTTAAAACTGATCTGAGGTCAGACCCGCCCAGGCATGGACGCCGCGTCCTCTGGAGCGCTGCACAGAGTACTGACATCAGTGTGCTCTCCGCCTGTGCAGCCACATTTTTAATATATAAAAGGAGTCAGTGTGTGTAGAGGTCAAAGGTCATGTCAAAGCTGGGAAAGGTTCTGAAATCATTTATCTTGGCAGCTTCGTTTGTGTGGTGGGGGTAGGCTTTAATCACAATCAGAAAACTTTATTGATCCCTGGGGGAAATTACTTTTCGTTACAGTGCTCCATTATAAACAAGCATTAACAGAGACAGACAAGACACTAACTAAGAATAGCACCATATATATACATTGTTGCCTTGTTGTATTTTGTCATGTTTCTCAGGTCTTTGTCTGAATTTCTACGAACATTATTGCTAAGGATTGTCTTATTGCATTGGAGTCACACTGGGTTAAATATGTACACTTGGGTTTTAAGGGGTATTTATTATTTTCTTCTTTTTTTTGGGTTGTGTGGAAGCCCCAAACGCAATTTCATTGTTCTTGACAATGACAATAAATAAATAAATACTATACTATACTACATAAAAGTCACTTATTAATAAATAGCTGAAAGAGAACATGTGCAAGAAGGGTGTAGCTGTTGCAGTAACCAGTGTGTTAGGTGGAGGAGTTGTACAGGGAGCCACAGGCAGGAA